GTCTTTCGGCCCTGATTGAGCACTGTTTGGGCCTCATGTGGAAAAACCGTTGATGGAATTGGGTCCGTAAAAAAATTCCCCACATTCTGGTTAAGTGTCACCGGCGCGTGACCACCACGCGCCGGCCGTTGACCGGTGGCGATTTTCCAATGGTGTCAGAAATTTATGATTTTTCACAGGGAGATGCAGAATTTCATGCTGATCATCACGGTATGTTCCGTTTTCCGAAACGAGTTCAGGATTGGCCGGAATCTGCGATTTTCCGAGCGACTGGCCGGAAATTGCGATCGCCGGTGAGGGCGCGTCCGGAGTCGGAATTGGATGATTTTTTAGTCGAAGGTTCGCCTTTTCATGGGTAATCTTATGGTCAGGCGCGTGTCCCTGTTTGAGCTCTGTGGAAGGGTTAATTGAAAAATCAGTTTTTGGCCCCTCGGGATCCGATCTGTCAATTTCGGGCGATTCGGATGAAATCTCTACCACCCCCAGGGTTTTCGGCCCTTCTGGAATCATTGGTGATGGTCCCAGACCCTGATTCAATGCGTAGGGGGGTGTTTCGACGACCTTGGGATTCATGCCATGATTTTTCAAACTCAGATCTATTGAGTTGGGGGATGAATCTGATATTGGTGTTATAGGAGATGTTTGGGTGGTTGTTGGTGATGATTTTCCACCACTTAGAGTGCTGCAATCCGGTGGTTTTGGTGGTGGATCAAGTTTGTTGGAGTTTTGGAGGTTTTCTCCCATTCTAGAGAGAAGGGAGAGCGTTTTGGAGGTAGAGAGAGAAAAAAGCCCGTTTTGGGTTTAGCTCACGATTTCGTTCGATCAAAACACCAACTTGCTGATGCATTCACCAAACCTTTACCTGCTTCTGTCCTCTCTCCTTTATTGTCCAAGATGTGTGTAAAGAACATTTGCCTCACATCTTGAGGGGGCATATTACGACTTGTGTATATAGTTAGGAAGTTATGACAATTAGCTAGTTTCTTGTGCCAACTAGATTTTAGTTATGACAATAGGCATATTTTCATTTCTATTTAAACTGAAGATGTATGTACAATTCACACACTTTTTGCATGATCAATACAATCAGTCTTCATTCACATTTCAGCTCTAATATCTGGCATAAATTGATGGTTCTTTCACCGCAGCAACAATGTTGAGCGACTCTGATTCAATCATCCCAACAGGTAGCTTCTGATCTTGGACAAACTTTAAGCCCTCCCAATTCACAAACATTCGGGAGCAAGAGGCGGTAGAGTTTCCAGAATTGATTTTGCGAAACCAACCACCACATGACCCTTGTTTGTGACAGCATACACTTGAAAGAATATATATATAACTTGAATAAGGATCACAAGTAGTATTTCATTTTATCGAAGTCTATTGACCAAAATACATGAATGATTGACAGTTTTGCTTACCTTCGTTCTCTTATAGAGGATTTTCAACACCATCAGCACATGGCGAAACCAAGCTTTCCATGTAGACACGCCCTTCAAGAATGTCATCAATGACATCAGTTTGTGACCTTAGCTAGTTCATTTTGGGATCGTAAACTGCTATAGATGATCCCAAACGCAATACACTCTAGCCATTCCTAAGCAAACATAATGGCCTAATACCTAAATACGTGCAGTCAAGATTAAAATATTGGATTCTAATAATTTTTATCTAAGATTTTGCAATTCCATCCTCTTTCATTACCCATCCATTTATATAAGTTTACCCATCATTGAGAAGCATACTAAGCCATATCCTCCCAAATCCAACAATAAAGATGGAACATAATCACCTAAATAATCTGATCGTGAAACCTCATTTTACGTCTCCTCCAATAAATCAAGAGAAACAAATACCATTCATAGCCACATACTGCCGACCAATGGAGTTTACAATTTGCAAACTTATCCAATTCATTGTTCGGAAAACCCCTATGGGAATCCTCAATCATCTTCCAAGAATTAGTCCTCAAACTGTAAATTTCAATGGCATATGGTCCATTGCGATTAACGTAGTTGAAAATGGATACCACTTGTAAAATCACCTGAGTCTTCATACCCAAACCCATATATTAAATTACAACTGTACTTCACATAGTTACTAAAGCGAGGCAATCTTTTGGATTTCCTAATCGACGGGTTCCACAAATATAAATTTCTATCTCCAAAGCAAATACAAATCCAATAACTGGGTTCCCTCATTGGAAAATCCAAAGAGATAGAATTCGTACTTGTTTTATAAAGTAAAGAACAATACCTGAGATCATAATGACGAAAAAGACATAAAATGAGTTTATGATGGGTGAAATCCGGGTTGCTAGTTGATCTAACGAGATGAATTTTGTGCTGGAGATCAAAGAACACCATAATTTTGAAATGCACTTGAATTTCAAGAGGGAATTATCTCACACAATATGGAAATAGGCAGAAGTGACATAATCGTCAACTGCTCTTAACACAGCCAAAAAGCTTGGTGGTAACAAAAGCTTGAGTGATTACGTAACATGTTGCAGTTTTCTCAATATGTATTTTTCAATTGTAGGATTTTTAAAAACAAAGCAAACACTTGGATTAAGATTAATAAAGATAGAGTTGCAAGAAAAAACATGAGGTTCAGGTAATATCATATATATATTCAAAATTCAGGAATTCAAAAAAGTTAGAAAGGAAATTATGAAAAAAACATCAATAATGCTTCACGTACAGAAAATAGATAACAGAAGGGATACAAAAATTCAAAAAATCTGATGTGGCACCAGTCTTCATTATTATTTCCTAACAACTGCCAACCCGTCCCCTTTTACCCCACCCCAATACACCCCACACCCAACACAACCACCCCACGCCCCTTATTTCCCTTATTTACGATATCAAATTTCGAAAGTATTACGAGAATGTTATATGAAGTCGAAATATTACATTTTTAATATCATTTCGATGTGCTCACGGCCTAGTTTATCGCATTCTTAATCGCGTACAAAACGGTCAAACGTAGCAAAAGTTACCACTCGTCGAAATAGGTCGTTCCAAAATATATAAATGATTTTTCTTATTTTTGTCTCAACTTTCGGGATCATTACGGGATGTCAAACGAAATTGAAATATCGCATTCTTAGCACCATTTCAAAGTGCTCACGGCCTAGTTTATCGCATCCTTAACCGTGTGCGATATGGCCAACCGTAGCAAAAGTTACCACTCGTCGAAATAGACCTTTCCAAAATATATAGATGATTTTTCTTATTTTTGTCTCAATGTTCAGGATCATTACGGGATGTCAAACGAAATTAAAATATCACATTCTTAACACCATTTTGAAGTGCTCATAGCCTAGTTTACCGCATCTTTAACCGCATGCGAAACGACCAACCGTAGCAAAAATTATCACTCGTTGAAATAGGCCGTTTCAAAACATATAAATGATTTTTCTTATTTTTGTTTCAATTTTCGGGATCATTACAGGATGTGAAATAAAATCTAAATATCGCATTCTTAACACCATTTCGTAATGCTCACGGTCTAGTTTATCGCATCCTTAACCTTGAGCAAAACGGTGACATCCGGTAATGATCCCGAAAATTGAGACAAATAAGAAAAATCATTTATATATTTTGGAACGGCTTATTTCGACGAGTAGTAACTTTTGCTACGGTTGTCCATATCCCACGCGGTTAAAGATGCAACAAACTAGGCCGTGAGCACTTCGAAATGGTGTTAAGAATGCGATATTTCGATTTCATTTGACATTCCATAATGATCCTGAAAATTGAGACAAAAAGAAGAAAAAATCATTTTTATATTTTGGAACGGCCTATTTCGACGAGTGGTAACTTTTGCTACGGTTGGCCGTTTCGCACGCAGTTAAGGATACGATAAACTAGACCGTGAGCACTTTGAAATGGTATTAAGAATGCGATATTTTGATTTCGTTTGATAACTCATAATGATCTCGAAAATTGAGACAAAAATAAGAAAAATCATTTATATATTTTGGAACGGCATATTTCAACGAGTGGTAATTTTTGCTACGTTTGGCCGTTTCGTACGCGGTTAAGGATGCGATAAATTAGGCCGTGAGTACTTTGAAATGATATTAGGAATGTAATATTTTGACTTCATATAACATTCTCGTAATACTTTTGAAATTTGAGATCGTAAATAAGGAAATAAAGGGATGGGGTGGCTGTGTTGGGTATGGGGTGTATTGGGGTGGGGTAAAAGGGGACAGGTTTTTGTCAGGAAATAATAAATATCGAAGTATGGTGCTACATCAGATTTTTTGAATTTCTGTATCTCTTCTGTGATCTATTCTTTGTACGTGAAGCATTATTGAAAAAACATATTCAGCAAACAGGACCATGAAAGCATGGTAAGGTGCTAAATCACATCGTTCCACATAGCGTGCCATTTTGGCTCCACATGCCTAGTCACATCACACACAAACGTAACACAAATGTAACTTAATTAGTAAATGTCAAGTTTAAAAAAAAAAAAAAAAAAAAAAGAGATCGTTTTTAAATAAGTTAGTCATTAGGTGGATCCTTGATAGTATTAGTACCATAATGACGATCATTTTTAACAATTTCATTCAAAGGTTGAGCTGTTAAAAAGATATCGCACTTATTTATTTAAACATGTTCTTTAACATGGCCTTTTATGTGTAGGCTGGATTTATTTACTAATTAAGGATCTAGAATATATACAATTTTCAATAAGTTTCTACAACGACAAGATCTGAACCAAGTCTTTTGCCGAGCTTCGATACCATGTTAATCATTTCATCTAAACGTTTAAGCTGTCTAACAAATGACACACGTATTCATCACATAATTAATCAAATGAATAACGTATAAATACTCCATTGTAAGAAAAAATAGACAATATGTTTTTGCTTCACCCCAATTAAGCTATTCCAACGCAAATCTATAGTCATGCCCATCCAAAACCCATATACATCAATACCAAATACAAATTCAAAGCTATTGAAACCCAAACTGTATCCCTCTGAATCCAAACTCAAATTTGGACCTAACCCAACACAAATCCATACCCAAGCCCACCCCAATCCCAAATCAATTCAAAACCCAACTTTAAATTCAACTTTAAGCCTAATCCAATAAAATCCAACACATTTCCTTTCACAATTCAAATCATATTTGGACCCAAACCAAACCAAACCAACCCAACTCAAATCAATCAAAATCCAACTATCCCAAGATCAAACCCAACATTCATAACCCAACCCATATCCCTCAAAAATGCAAATCATGTTTAGAACCTTAAGCCCAACCCACACCCAACTCAAATTAAAACCCAAATTGAAATTCAAATCCTACCCAATTTAAAATTAAACCCAAAACTACTGAAACCCAACCCAAGACCTTTGCCGAACCCAAATCCATATCTCACAAAACCCAAATATATTAAAAACAAACTCAAATATATTAAAAACCCAATCTATATCTCACAAAACCCAACTCAAAGCTGGATCCAGCCCAACACAAATCTACACTTCCCATCCCAAACCCAAATCCATCAATACCCAACTCAAATTCAAAAACTACCCAAATTAAACCCATAAGCTTAATTACAACCAACCCATGTTAAACACAAACCCAAATCTATTGAAATCCAACCCATATCCCTCCAAATCACAACTTAAATTTGGATCCAATCAATCACGAATCCATACTGAGTCCATCCCAGACCCAAATCCATTAAAACCCAACTATAATTCAAAGTGGAAATTACGTACAGGCCTACTTTAAAAGATCCAATTTCAAAAATAAATTACAATGTTTATTTATACAAAAATCATATATTAATTTAAATATTATAAAGTAATATTTTAATAATAATAATAATATTATAAATTAATCTATATACATACACCTTATCATATTTATCCCCATTCAAACCCTAAAATGAAGTTTCTCTCTCCCCGCTCCTCTTCATTCTCTCTTCACCATTGCGCTTGCTGCCCTCTCCTCTCTTATCCTTTCTCTCTCCACCATCCATCTATCTACTCTCAGATCGCCGCCATCACTGACGAATGACATTTCTCCATGGGTGGTGGTGTTCGAAGGAGGATGACTGAAGACGTTTCTCCATGTGCGTGCTGCAAATTGAGGTCCTTTTTTTCATGGGCGTCGAATGCTTGACGACGTTTCTCCATGTGCAGTGGTGATAGGTGGTTGGGTACAGTGCTATGTACGATGGATGGTTGGGTGTGGTGTATAGAGAGGTGTGACATGATGGTGACGGAGGCGAGATGTTGGCGTTGATGGTGGTGACATTTTCAGATCGGACTACGGATGTTGTGGGCCGCTGCTGATGTGATGACAAGGTGGTGATTCTGCAGGCGGTGGCGGTGGCGTAGGGGTGATGGTGTGGTGGTGACTTAAGGTGTGGTATACTAGTGGCAGAGGTAGTAGTTGTAGTGGATTGGGGTAGGTGGGGCACGGCGGCATGGTGGTTGTGGCGACGATGGTGGTGGTGGGATGGGGTTAGGGTAGGATAGGGTGCAGTGGCAAAGTAGTTTGTGACCAATATTTGAATGGTTGTGACCAATAAATTGACTAATTTATAACTAAAAAGTAATATGTGACTGATAAAATATGTGACAAATAAGTAATATGTGATCGACAAAATATATGATTGATGAAATATGTGACCTGTAGTTGTGACCATAAAAATAATTTGTGGCATATATAAATTTTGATTTGTGAGTCTGTGATAAAAAATAATAATATGTGAATAACTAAAACGCCAATTTGTGATCGAGTTATATAAATTTGTGACTTTAATATATTTAATTAATAAAATATATAATTAATTAATTATTTCATAAATTAAATTTAATAAATATCTATTTTTGAAATTTGAAACTTTTATTCTTAGTTTTGAAATGATAGATACTTATCTTCTTAGTTATAAAAATTACACAAAACCCTAGAATTAAAATCAACGGTTCTAAAATCAGGTGGAAAGTTTAACATTTCAAAAATCAGAATTTTTTTTATTAATTATTTAAATAAACTAATTACCAAAAATTAAAAACACTACCCACTACCCAGATACAGATCCATCTCCTCCCTCTCCCTCTGTCGTCTCTCTCTATTATCTCTTCCGTCTCTTTACCACACATCGGAGCGACTGTAGGAGATGGGGGCGACGCGAGACTTCAATCTATGCAAGGTGTAGCGTACGAGCGGTGTTAATTTGCGAGGTGGAGCAACGAGGTGCGTTAATCTCAAAGTTGTAAGAGGTGCGGTGGCGTGAGATTTCTGAAGTGGTGGTGAATTAAATTTGTGAGATTTCTGAGGAAAAATTCAAAAATGTTGTGAAGTTGCTGCATTTGCATTATAGTTTGTGATTTCTGCAGTTCTTGGTGATCCCACTATCCTAATTGCTGGGGTGGTGGGTTTGATGATGTCAAAATAAAAGGTTTGATGTTATTAATGAATTCTGGTCATGTGAAATTGGGAAATCAGTATACTCAGAAGGTCATTCCTTGTAGATAATAATTGGATAAGGCAAAATCATTGTT